CCCCCCCCCATACCCATTTTCTGCTCCAAAAAACCCCCCAGTCCTTTAAATGCACAGCCCTCTCCACAAATCAGCAGAAAAATCTTCCCCAAACTATGTACTGGTTTTTAGATTTTCAACTTTTTAAAACAACAAACTCGGCTTCGACTAAAATTGGGAGCAATCAAAATAGCCGAGCCTTTGGAAGAAACATTTTCAATGTACAGACTTTAACACTGGTGTCAGAATAGGAGTTAAGTCTTACTCTTCGGTTACAACTGGACTCATCTGTTCAATCAGCTCTCTCTTCTATGAATTTTCCTACCAGTTGAAATTATTTCCATTTTTTTTCAAAGGGTTGAAGCTGAATGAGTCTTAAACCAAAAGATGAACATTTAACACTCGGTAGGAAGATGTACAAGTTTATATAGAGCAGTGTATCTCAACCCTGGCATCTTGTCTGGAATTCAACTCCCAGAATCCCCCAGCCAGTATGACTGGCTGGGGAATTCTGGGAGTTGGAAGTCCACACATCTTCAAGGTTGAGAAACTCTACCTTAGAGTAAGGTGCTAGTCCCTTTCATGGCAATGAAAAGAAAAAAGAAAAAAACTGGGGAGGGTGAGAAGGGAATTAATTACATTCCCTTGAGTATGTCTAGTTTAATGAAGAGAAGGACGAGGGGGGACATGATAGCTGTGTTCCAATATCTCAGGGGCTGCCCCAAAGAAGAGGGAGTCAAGCTATTCTCCAAAGCACCTGAAGGCAGGACAAGTAGTAACGGATGGAAACTAACCAAAGAGAGAAGCAACCTAGAACTAAGGAGAAATTTCCTGACAGTTAGAACAATGAATCAGTGGAACAACCTGCCTCCAGAATGCTCCAACACTGGAGGTTTTAGAGAAGAGATTGGACAACCGTTTGTCTGAAATGATAATAGGGTTTCCTGCCTGAGCAGGGGGTTGGACTAGAAGACCTCCAAGGTCCCTTCCAACTCTGTTATTCCTTTAACTTCTCAGGCATGAAACCTTTCCCCAAGGTTTACATTTTGCTGAGCTGAATGTTATCTAAATAACTTATTTCCCACTTGGGCTGGCTTTTTGACAGGCTCTGCAAAGGGGTGGGTGGGGGGGAGAGATCCAAAGGCATTTTATGCTGATGAAGTATGCATGCTGATGTGTGCACACATACCATGCCCAGGTCAAATCTCAAAGTCACAAACTCCAAAGTACACTTGGCAACAGGTCAGGCGTGTTCAAGTCAATGCATGTTTGGTTCAATTATGGCTGGGTGGCACCTTGTTTTTTCAGCATCTATCCAACATGTGATGTGCAAACTAATGGCACTAAACTTAGATCCTTCTTAAAAAGAGGGAACTCTGGAAATAAAGCTCAGCCTTCTACATTTCTGTGTCTGGCCAAGGACACTTTGCATAGAGACTAATTAATGGGTACTTGGTCTTCCTTTGGAATTCATCTTTAAGAGGTCTTCAGAATACTTTCCTGTAAATGACCCTGTCTGTTTCCATCCCACACTTAAAACCTTTTAGCTTTTCCTGTCTTCTCTTTGGCCAGACCATTGTAGTATTCTGTGATTTCTGTTAAGTTGGGGTGTGTAGCTTTGTAAAGTCACATCCATGAAAAGATACTAACATACACGCATACCTCCGGATACAGAAAAATACACCAGCACGCAAGTGTCTACGAAGAGTCTCAATCAATACAATTACATACAATTGTAATTAGTAAAGCTTAAAAACAGGATATAGATTATTATAATCGCATGTGATTGATGATTTTTGTTTGATTGAACTTTACCTAAAACTGTATTAATTTTAATAAGCAATATTATATTTAGGAAACAGAGAGGAAATTTTTTATAATTAATTTGAGCTATACTTTTATGATTTTGTCTTTGAATGACTTTGACACCCTGACCACCACGTTGTGTCCTTAACTGGAAAAAAATGGAAAAAACCAATAAAACTTTTTATAAAAAAAAAGTGTCTCAATCATCCAAGTCATGGTTATCCCAAAGGTGCTTTTTTTTTTTTTTTTGCAAAAAGCAACTGGACTTTCTTGATTTTTTTTTTCTTTGAAAACATTTTACTTCTCATCCAAGGAGCTTCTTTAGTGAACTGGAGAAGCTTCTTCGATGAGAAGCAAAACATTTTCCAAAAACCCCTCCCCCCCAAAGAAGTCCAGTTGTCTTTTGGGGGGAAAAAGTACCTCTGGGACACTGGCATGGAAGTTACTCAGAAAAATCAGAAAATCCTAATGGACATAGAATCAGACACGTTGGATTTGATTATTGATGGGAAACTAACAATTGGGAAAAACTAATTAGGACACTGATTTGTCTAAAACAGACATGTCAAACACAAGGCCCGGGGGCCGGATGCGGCCCACAAAGTGGTTTCATGTGGCCTGCGAAGCCATCCTGGAAACAGTGAGGTAACGGCCCTCTGCTGCCTTGGCCCTGGCCCAGACCGGCCAGGAGCCAATGTACAATTTTGTGGTGGCCATCTATGCTGAAACGTATTAGCTCCACAAGGCCGTCTGGAAACAGCGAGGAACCGGCTCCTGCCGTGTCACCCTCGCCCCCTGGGTGCATGCTGGGGAGGTGTCACCCTTTGTGAGGAATGAAGAAATGCACCATCGCCTGGAAGTGGCCAGCAAATGGCCCTCGCCTACTTCACCTATCTGGCTTGATGGGCTCCGGGGGAGGGGTTTCTGCAGGCAGTGGGATGCTCTCCTCACAGCGCCAAGAGGCTGAGCCCCCACAGGCACCCTTGACGCAAACAATGTAGAGCTAGCCATGCCCACCCAGTAGGCCACACCCACCCGCCCCCACCAGGGCAACCGCAATGCTGATGCGGCCCTCAATGAAATTGAGTTTGACACCCCTGGTCTAAAAGGATTGAATGTTAAAGTAACTGGGATATGTATAGATTAAAAATTATTGATAAACGTAAGAAAATTATTTTTATTTAGTCGATGTAATAAGAATTATATCAGTTTAAATATGAGACAGTAAATACCAAGGGGAAAAGAGAGGAAATGTTTAATGTAATACTCTGAGATCTGTACTAAATATACTTGTATGTTATTGAATTATTGATCAACTCAGCCACCACGTTGCTTTTCAAATATTTAAATGTAAAATTAGAAAATCAATAAAGTTCTCTTTAAAAAAAAAAAAGAATCAGACACAATTGATCCATATTTAAGAAGTGAGAAATACTGGGCTATATCGACAACCAGATTCCCACATTTGCTAAATAAATAATATTGTCTGTTTGGCTTGGTGTGAATTCAGTCATTCTTGTCTGCTAAACATCTCACTGCTTAGCACAATCTACAAATCAGGTTTGCAAGTATCTTTTCCATCTAAGCTCTTAATTTAAGCAAATGTTTTGTTAACATTCAAGGTCATCCAGCCATTTTTGTATAGTGACTTTCACACTAAGAATAATAGAATTTAACTGCTAGAACTGTATCCCACTATACAATCATATTAGAACACACCAGAACTTTTCTTTACAGTTTCTAGTCCTCATTGTTATAAGAAACTACTTTCTTATCTTCAAGCAGCTTTTGATAAAAAATTGTGGAACATTAAGGTTCTGGCAATTATTATGATTTATTAAATTTATTGGCAGCCCATTTATTCCACAGAGTAAGTAGATTTTATTTTTTTTCCCCAGACTCCCCTCTTTTAATTAATATTTTATGTTGTAACTCATCCCCTTGTAAAGCCACTATTCAGACAACAGATTTGAAACCATTTCTGAATAAAGCACAAAACTGGGAATCACACCTTGGAGACTTTTTTAAATTAACTTAAGTGCCTGAGAAGATTCCATAATATAAACCAGATGCCAAAAGCCTTTGGTCAAAAGGCTTTTTTCAAGTAATTGATAAACACTTGACTCTGTAACAAGGATTTCAGTCAATCAGACTAAGAACTGGAAGGGATCTTGGAGGTCTTCTAGTCTAACCCCCTACTCAAGCAGGAGTAGGAGGACCCTATACCACTTAGCCCTCAATAGGTCTGTTCAGCACAGAATTATTGATCCAACATTTTCAGCTCTTGGCTGAATCTAACTTACCCTTCTCACTGCCCCCTGTGAATGCTACTATGGCATGATTCAAGCATTTCTGCCTTTTGTTTTTGTGGCTGTTCCCAAACTCTGCAGTTTACAAGAGAGGCTACCAGAAAAAGGCTTTACTGTCAAACCATTCTTTAGACCTAAATCACTGGTGGCAAATCATTACAGGAGGCTGGCATTGCTACAATTGGGGATAGGAGAGCCAGTTTAGTCTAGTCACTTGGCTCTTTTATGACTCATGGACTTCAACTCCCAGAATTCTTGAGCCAGCATGGCTCAGTTTGGAAACCTCTCCCTTTCCCCTCAGCATAGCTGGCTCAGGAATTCTGGGAGTTGAGGTCCACGAGTCATAAAAGAGCCAAGGTTGCCTACCTCTGGGCTAGACCTAGGCCACTTTAAGACTCATGGACTTCAACTCCCAGAATTCCTGAGCCAGCATGGCTCAGCTTGGAAACCTCTCCCTTTCACCTCAGCATGGCTGGCTCAGGAATTCTGGGAGTTGAGGTCCACGAGTCATAAAAGAGCCAAGGTTGCCTATCCTGGTCTAGTGATTAAGGCACCAGGCAGGGGATCATGAGTTTGAGTCCTATCTTAACTGTGAATGCCAGCTGGGTGATTTGAGCCAAACACCAGGAGACTGTGAATTCATGCCTTCAAAACCGTAGGCATGAAAGCAGCTGGATGACTTTGGGCCAAGCACCAGGAGACTGAATTTTAGCCTCATTTTAGGCATGAAAGCTGGCTTGGTACTTTGAACCAGTCCCTCTTTCTTAGTCCAGCCCACCTCACAGGGTTGTTGTTGTTGTGGGGAAAACAGGAAGAGGAAGGTGCATTGGATATATTCACCACTAGGCTATTTGTAAAAATAACAAAGGCAGGATACAAATAGAAAAATAAATAAATGTTACATACCGAACGTGGATCTCCGGCCAGGCAAGGCTCCTTGTCGTGTTTGGAGGCTATGCAAGACGCTGCTCTCAAAATGGCTGGCGGGCCAGGATGGAGGCATCTCCGCTGGGTTCACATAAGCACCGGGGTACGGGCTGGAGTAGGATCCATTGACAGAACGCATCAGAGTGTTGCCGTACTGGTCACGCCCTCCAGTGCCCAGCAACAGTGGACTTTGGTAGCCCCCGTCTCGACCAGCAGTGCTCCCTCCAGGAGGGCTGTGGGTGTAGGAAAAACTGGACGGTGGGTGAGGGCTGCCAGCATTGAAGTGGGAAGCCTCAGCGCTGGCTGGCTGACCCCACCCAGGGTGGCCACCCAGAGGATGGCCTTGATGGGTGGGATCACAGCTTTGCAGGTAGGGTAGGCTTTGGAGCATGGAGGAAACTCGACTGGTGGGGACATACACCGCTGGACTTGCTGGGGAATGCAGGAAATTGCTGGAATCATGGGGGTAGGCGGACTGGCCAGGATTTGGAGCAAGTGCCAAACTCTGGTACATTTTATGTCCTTCAAAGCACAGTCAACACTGGATCAAAGCAAGTGGTCAGGACTCCGTCAAGGCAAGCCAGCAACTTGGATGGGAAAGGACCAGAACAGGAAGACAAAATGTTTGGCTAAACTTCTGGGCTGTTACAGTCAAAGGAATTGTCAAGCACCTGGAAAGGGAAAAAAGAGTAGTCAATATTACAATAACAAAATCTTTAGTACATATCTCAGGTTACATCATCAAAAAATTCCTTCTCTATTTCCCTTAACATTTACTGTATCATATTTAAGCTAATAGATTTCTAGTTATAACAAGCTCAGTTAAAACATTTATATTTTTGCTTATCCATATCCATATTCTGTATTTAAGTTTTACCTAATTTTTAATTAGAATATTCCAATTTAACCTTTAATATCCATAGTATTTAAATTCTGGATAACCAATCACCACGCTGCTTTCCAAATACTTAACTGTCAAACTGGAAAACCAATAAAAATTAAAAAAAGGAAAAAAAAGAGAAAAATCAAGACCCCCACTAGAAACACCAATCTATTTAGCTTCTTGTTCTAAATCTGGAAGGTGGATTAGAACCAGCAAAGAGGCAGGAAAAAAAATGTAGCTCATGAGATCTAAGTTTAAAAAGTGTCATCTTTTAGAAACCTGGTTGGCAAAGTTTTCCACCAGGATAATTCTCATGATAAAGCTCCTCTTCCTTTTTCTTATGGAGGCCAGGGCAATAAAAGGATAGACATCTGGCTGAATGCTACCTGTTTAATCTTCTCTAAGTCAGCTCTGGGTCATCTCCTCAAGGAATTACCAGTTCCACACTTCCAACAGGGAAGTAGCATGTAATTGCCTTTCCCCCAAAAAAACTTCCCAGCCTAGCCTACAACATGGACTTTCCAAGTGGTCCCTCTTCCATAGATTAATGAGGTCCAACTAGCTGACTTTCAGGCTGACAGATGAGAGAAAAAAAACTGTGCCCTTAAAAGCTGGAATCTTCTCCCCAAACCTGAGATTGTGCTAGGACTACATTTTCAACCATATGCTTAAAACGTCCTACTGGCTACTTGGACCAACATAGAATTCTGCAGAAGGTTAAAAGGGCATTTTCCCACCTTTCAACATCTAAATCCTTCCACAGAGGGGCCCTTCTTTGCTAATCAGTAGCTTTTGTGTAAGTAAAGTACCTTATGACAGGTAAGAGGGTCACCTTGTGAAGGCAAAGGAACTCAGGAGAGCTTGGAAATGACTTCTTCAGCTGAAAGTGAGTAGCCCAATATTCAAGAGGAATTACTTTCAAGGAGCAAAATCTCCCCAGGACAGTGGATCTGGGTTGCTTCGCAATCTAAAAGCCCTGAGATCAACTAAATAAATTGCTTTGCTGATTAGACATTTCTCTAGTCATTACTATTTTCCTACTTGGGTAGAATCTTAAAAAGTGCAACTTTAGCTAACAGTTTGCAGCTTACAGTATTCTTTAAGATGCTTACAACTGCATGCTATGGTGATTGCAAGCATATATCTCTTGACTGAAGATTAAATAACCATTGTTAATCTTAATCTTAAATGAATAATACAAATAGTCCTCGACTTACATTTCTGGGGGCTAAGTGAGACATTTGTTAATTTTGCCCCATTTTACAACTTTTCTTACAGCAGGTTAACAAACATTGTTAATTGAATCCCTGCAGCTATTAAGTTAGTGACACGGTTGTTAAGCAAAAGGGGATCATGTGGCCCCAGGACACTGCAACCGTCATAAATATGAGTCAGTTGCCAAGCATCTGAAGTTTGATCACATGGCCACAGGGAGGCTGCAAAGGTCCTAAGTGTGGAAAAACGGTCATAAGTCACTTTTTTCAATTCCTTTGTAACTTTGAATGGTCACTAAATGAACTGTTGTAAATTGAGGACTACCTGTATCTTAAAGCACCCTTCCCTGTCTTCTGGATATGCTGCGATTACAAATTCCCAGCCAGCAAAGTGATTAGCTGAAGTCAAAGGTCAACATATGAATCTGGAGGCTAATTGGAAAAAGTTGCATTAAACATATGGATCAAATCATATGCTTTGCATTTTAAAACTGGAAATAACAGCCTTGAGAGATACAGTTAGGAGCATGGGAAAGAGGGAGATTCTTAGTATCAAAATGTTGGAGGGGGGTCCTTGAGGCCATCTAGACCAACCCCTGCTCAGTAGGAACCCACATTAAAACATTCAGTCAGAGAGCTGTCCAGTCTAACTACCAACTTCTTTCAAAATCAGTTTCATGCTTTCCAAGATTCATACATCCATGGCTATGACGAATATCCCCCAAAGAAGCTATCATCCTCTCAAAAACAATTCTGGTTAGGATTGTTTTTGTTAGGAGTGATTATGTTACCCCTAACTTGGTTAATCCTGGTTAGGAATGACATAATACAGAGGATGCCCCTGGAGGAAGATTGCCTTAACACAGAACAGAGAATAATAGGTAGCAAAGGGACTTTGGAGGTCTTCTAGTCCAACCCCCTGCTTGCCTTAAGATAGAATCGGACAAATGGCAAATTTCAAAAACTGCATTTTGGTTCAGTTGATCGAATGTAGTGTATGGGAAATCGCAAGCTCATGTATATTGATTAAGGAGAGCCTTCAAAGAGTTTACAAATACTGTGTTAAATCCAATTCAGAGATTCTCTTGCAGAGGATCAGATGAGAATAGATCTTTGGGCTTGCAATAATTTGGTCTTCCATTTGTTGCATGTCAACCGATGTCAACCAGTTTTAGATGGATAATGGGTCAATTGGGGGGAAAAAATTCCCAAACCCTCTTATCTGACACCCTTTGAAATCCTCCCATTGCCCTCAGACCTAACTAAAGGGAGCTAGGAAAAAATGCAAAAGGGTAACTTACGAATTACAACCCACTCATTGTACAATAGATAGGATTTATAGCAAGAAAAATCCAGTGTACACATTTCCAGTTGACACCTACTCAAGACTGTGATGGCCATTGACTTGGAAGAAATAAAGCATCTGATACAAAGGTAGAGAAGCTTGTTTACATCTAACCATGAAATACTAAAAGCTGGAAATAAGAGACGCCTATAAAGAAACCCAAAAAATCAAGATGGTGGCCCAGCCATGACATCAAAGTATCCTTTTTTTAAAAAAACATATGTGGTGCTGCCTTTTGAAGTGGGATGTTCATGAAGCCAGAAGCTGGAAGTTGGTCTCCATCCCTCTTGTTTAATGAGAGATCTACCAGTAGTGTGTTTCTCAACCTTTGCAACTTTGAGTTGTGTGGACTTTGACTCCCAGAATTCCCCAACCAGCTATGCTATGCTATGCTTGCTGGGGAATTCTGGGAGTTGAAGTCCACACGACTTAAAGTGGCTAAGGTTGAGGAACACTGTACTCCAGCTTCTGATAAATGACCATCCACTGTCCATTTGAAGACTTCTACCAAAGGAGAACTTACCGCTTCATGTGGCAGCCTGTTCCACAGTTTATACAGTAAGGAATTACCTTTCTGATGCCTAGCCTGAACTTCTAATTTTAACCTACTGCCTTCGGGGAGGGACGATAAAGCAGGGGTCTTCAAACTTGGCCCTTTTATGACTTGTAGACTTCAACTCCCAGAATTCCTCAGCCAGCATGCCTGGCTGAGGAATTCTGGGAGTTGAAGTCCAAAAGTCATAAAAGGGCCAAGTTTGAAGACCCCTGCATTAAAGACTAGGTCTGCATCTTCTGAGAGATGTCCGGATCTCTTTCTCATCTACTCCTGACAAGTCCTGGTCTCTTTCCTAGGATTTGAAACTCTATAGATATCTGGCCACCATATTTGAACATGGGGCAGAAGGTTGGACTAGATCAGGGGTAGGCAACCTTGGCTCTTTTATGACTCGTGGACTTCAACTCCCAGAATTCCTGAGCCAGCATGGCTCAGCATGGAAACCTCTCCCTTTTCCCTCAGCGTGGCTGGCTCAGGAATTCTGGGAGTTGAAGTCCACGAGTCATAAAAGAGCCAAGGTTGCCTACCCCTGGACTAGATGATCTCTGAGGTGCCTTCCCCATTCTGTGATTCTAATCACGACTCACATTCACAGCCACTGAACTAAACAGTGCTTCCTGTCACCCAAGCCTCTCTTCTGACCCAACCCAGCCATTTTATCTGCACTGAAGAGAGAAGCTAGATATTATTTTGGTGTTTATTAACCTATTTATATGCAGCCTTCACCCAAACCTTGAGATGGCTCATCCTAGCCTAAAAACAATGAGACACAACTCTCCAGGGAATTGCAACAAACATTCCACAGGCATCAGCTGACCATAAAACCAACATTAAAAGGCCAGAAGAAGTCCCTTGGTCAATTGACTCTTTCTTTTGGAGAAACTTATGCCCCCCAAATACCAAGAAAAGAGAAGCCAATAACTCTTTTGAAAATCAGTATGGAAGGTGACATTCCCAGCCTCAAAAAACAAAAACAAAAAGGGGGATGGTGGCCGATGAGATGCCATTGCAGAATAAAGGATCTGCAACTGTGAATATACACAGCTCAAATACACAAAGTTGTGTTGATTTCCATTAGGGTTGATTGTAGGAGAGGAGAAAAAAAAGGTTGACTGAGAAGATCTCCAAAGTCCCTTTCCAATTCTGTTATCCCAGTCTGAATCTAGTCAGGAACAAAAAGCATTGTAAAAACTAATCAGCCTTCTTTAATCAACATCTGGGTTTGTCCTTCTCATTCAACCCTAACGGTGGTTCCATTCTCCAGGCCTTGCTGAACGTGGAACCTACTGCTTAAGGCTTTGCAATACAGGCAACCTAAGCTGTGCAAAACAAAATAATAAAAAAGCTGAAAAGGCAAAGACAATCTGTTTCTATAATGCAGACAACCCCCCCCCTACTCAGGTGAGACCCAAAGGTGCTTTTCCCAAAAGGCAACTGGATATCTTGTTTTTTTTTCCCCTTTGAAAACATTTTGCTTCTCATCCAAGAAGCTTCTTCAGTTCATTTAGCTTCTTGGATGAGAAGAGAAATGTATTCAAAGGGAAAATTCAAAAAAAAGTTTTGAAAAAGCATCTTTGGGATAACCTGGAGGACTGCAAATCTCCCTAGACACTCAGGTGAGCTGGAGAAGAATGTTTTTTTTTTCTTGGCTGCATATTGCAAGCAGTTTGTCCTTGCCTTTTCAGGTTTCTAGTCCAGCTTACAACTCTGAGATTTCCTTGTGGTTCCTCACCTCAGTACAAAACAGATCCAGTACACTTAATATCTTCAAGAGAAGCCAGTCTCCTGAGTGGACACTGTGAAAATGCAACCAGAATTACTCACTAAGGATGGAGTCCTGTCAATTAAAGGGAGGTGGTCCTTCTTGAGAGTAGATTAGGCTGTATCCCCGCACTAATAATGGCCATTTCAGTTAGTGCAGATCAGTGGAATTCTCTTTCTGGAATGAACCTAGATTTCAAATGGGTTATAAGCCATCCTAAAATAATTAATTCTGCTTACCAAGAAATTAAAAGACGCTTGCTCCTGGGGAGGAAAGCTATGGCAAATCTAGCCAGCATACTAAAAAGCAGAGACATCACCCTGCCAACAAAAGTGCGTATAGTCCAGGCCATGGTTTTCCCAGTTGCAATGTATGGCTGTGAAAGTTGGACCATAAGAATTGAGGCCTTTGAACTATGGTGCTGGAGAAGACTCCTGCGAGTCCCTTGGACTGCAAGGCAGATCAAACTGGTCAGTCCTAGAGGAGATCAACCCTGACTGTTCCTTAGAAGGCCAGTTCGTGAAGTTGAAACTCAAGTACTTTGGCCACCTAATGAGAAGGACTCACTGGAGAAGAGCCTGATGCTGGGAAAGATGGAGGGCAATAGAAGAAGGGGACGACAGAGAATGAGGTGGCTGGATGGAATCACTGAAGCAGTAGACGTGAGCTTAAATGGACTCCTGAAGATGGTAGAGGACAGGAAGGCCTGGCGGAACGTTGTCCATGGGGTTGTGATGGGTCGGACACGGCTTCGCAACTAACAACAACAACTTAAGAGACAAGACCTCAGAAACATTGACATTGTAGCAAAAATGCGGTGCTGAAGCTATTTATCCTGGCTGCAAAGGATAAAATGAAAAACCTCCTTTAAATCGAAACTCAAAGTTCAATGGCTCCTAGATCTCAACCTTGCCTTAGAAACACCCTTGAAATCCTAATATTGTTCACCTCCTGCCCTTCTAACACCGCTCAAGTTATTTTTGTACATCGATGGACAGTTCCAATTGGGAAAAAAAAATGCATGCGTTTTCTGACTGGATCTCAACTAAAATCTCAAAACAGAAACCACCAAGTCTCTTAAACTGACCTCAAAATCTCAATCCAGCTTTAATTCCCCCCCCCCCCAGGATTAAAATCCTAGAAAAAACGCTCCATGTCCAAATTTGTCCTTTGGTGGAGAGTAGAGTAGAAAGAGAAAGAGAGAGAGACTTTGCACCATAGAGGCAAGAAAACAGAGAAGCAGTGTCCCAACAACAAGGTTAATCCAATCATAGCTTGTTTCATCAAAGCCGTTTTCAAGGTTAAGTCTCTTGGGGGGGGTCCCGCCACCCCCCACCCACCCCCGCAGCCAGCCAAGTGGCAAATCAAGGCCCTTGCACCATAAAGGGAGCGGCTAATCTGGAATCTGGTGTTCCTGGAACACCAGAGACAAAAACGCGATCCCTTTAAATCTTTCCAGAGAACAGATCCCCCCTGATCCTGAGCGCATTTTCGTTTGAAGAAAAGTCGTCTTAGAAGACGGGGGCTTCGTCGTGCCGTTTTCCAGGCGCAAAATGCGGCTAGCAAAAAAACAGCTCCAAAAGCAGCTTCCGGAAAGGAGGGCGAGGAAAATAAAATAAAACAAATCCAAACGTTAGTTCAAAGCTCTTGGGACAAATAAACCTATTCCATAATTTACTTTTTCATTGATGGAAATCGGGGCGCCGGTCTCTTCCGAGTTCTCTCCCACCAAAACCAAGTCTAGGGATTAAAAATCATCTTATAAAGACGCAGAGAAAATGCTTCTTTCGTTGGAAAAACGAAACGAAAAAAAAACAAAACGAAAACTGGACTTTCCCCAGAGTTTTTAACTCGGAATATTGTTCCGAGGGGAAAAAAGGAAGGTAGTTAGCGGTCGAGCCGTATTTAAACGAGAGACTTTTTTTAAAAAAAGGCCCGGATCGGATTTACTCGGGAGGAGAAAGGGAAAGAAAACGAATAAATCGTATAAGACTTCAAAGAGTTGCGACCCCCCCTTTTTTTTCCTGTGTGTGTGTCTGTGTGTGTGTCTGTGTGTGCGTGCGTGCGTGTGTGTGTGTGTATGGAATGAAAGTAGCAGTGGGAATCAACGAACGAAGCCTCCTACTCGCAAGCAAACCGGCGTTCAGTTTTTCCAGAGGCTTCTTGAAGGCAGCAAAACAAACCAGAACGCTTTAATTCATTCAATCTCCACCGACTTCGGAACTAGATTTTGCCCGAGGAAGCGCCAAGGCCTCAATCGGCTACGAGTTAAAACCGAATACTCGATTTTTTTTTTCTTCCCAAGTAAAAAAAAGAAAAAGAAAGAAAAAAAAGGCGCAGCGCAAAGCAGCCGGAATTAGCAGGAAGTAACAAAATTTCTTCCTTGAAGTCAGAGGAACTACTTTTCCTCCCCCCCTCCTTTTTTTAAAAAATCAATTAACGGCTGGCTTTGCTCAATTGTGGCTCCTGGGAAATCGACACTCAATAAAAATAAAAATAAAAAAATAAAAATAGTCCCAGTCCGGTTCGAGCCCTTCCAACTTTATTATTATTATTATTATAGAACCAACTTAAAAGTTGATTTCACGCCCGCGTAAATTGGACTCTATGGGTCGATAGGAATTGTGTGCGTGCGTGTGTGAGGGGGGGAGGGGGGGCAAAAATAATAATTAAAAAAAATAGGAAAAAAAAAGCAGGCCCGGTCCTCGGTGGTGTCTCCGGAGGCGTCTGGCGAGGGTTGGGTTTTCTGCAAAGCGAGCCCGCCTGTTTTCTGCGGCTGGAAACGAAGCGCTTTTGCTTGGAGAGTAAAAAAAACGCGGAAAGAACCAGGCAAAAGCCGAGCGCCAAACGAAGCTTTCGGGGTGCAAGATATACAGAAGTATATAAAAAAAAAAACCGGAGAGGGTCACACTTTTTTTTTTCTTTTGGCACGGTCCTTTCGAGAAGGAAAAGGGACGGGTCTCCCCCCCCCCTTCTTTAATCTCCCAGATTAAAGCCAGATCAAACTTTTCTATAAAAGTCGGGGGGGGGGGAGTAGAAGGGAAGAGGAATAAATAAATTAAACCGTTTGCCCAAGTCGTTCTAGGAAACTCGTATCTGAACAAAGTCTGGGCCTTTAAAAGGAAAGTTTGGGGGGGAGGGAAGAGGGGTTTTTTTTAATCAGCAGACCCATAAATCACTCGCGCGCTTATCAATAGTGGCAAAACTAACGTCTCTCTTTCTCTTTCTCTCCGTTTCTCCCTCTCTCGGTCTCCCCTTCCTCCTCCTCTAGCTTCTCCAAGCGCGACACTATCTGCTAAGATAAGCCCAGCCGAAGACGAGATAAGTTGGCTACAGAGGGGACGGAGGGTTTAAATAAAAAAAAAGGGGGGGGTATGGATAGTAGAGTAGTACTCACGTTATTACAGACCCGGAGGAAGGAGAGAGAGAGAGAAAAAAGCCAGACACTGGCATGAAGCAGGGAAAAAGAAGGTCAAGGCAAAAAAAAAAAAAATTAAAAATAATCCTGGTTGCAAAAAAAAAAAAAAATTAAATTAAAGAAGGCAATCCGAAAGGGGGAAAAAAAAATTCCGGTGCAAGCAACAACAACAAAAAAAAAAAGGAAGAAAAAGAAAATTGGGCGGGGGGGCGACGTTTTCCCTTCCCTCCCTCTCTCTCTTTTTGAAAAGGCTTTTTTAAATTTTTTTTTTAATTTTATTTTCCGTCCGGCTGTTATCTCAGCTGCGCCCAGCCAGCGAGCGAGCGAGCGAGCGCGCCTCCAGCTCCGCTCGCCCCTCACCTCGGCCTTCGAGTGATGCCTCTTCTGCAGCGGCGGCGGTTCGGCCCCTTTACGGGCTGGCCGTGGGGCAGAGTCACGTGACCTCCCCCCACCACTCTTCCCCCCCCCCGGTGAGCCAGACCGTCCAGGCGAGAGTTAAGATGATTTGGGGAGGGGGAGGAGGGAGGAAAAGGTGGGAGGGGGGGACACCTGGCTAGGAGGGAGGAATTGGACTTTTAGATTACTTCCACTTTTTTTTTTTTCATTTGTGAGAATATTTGGGGGGGGGCATTCTGTCTCTCTCTCTCTCTTCTCCCTGCCCCCCCCCCGCCCCCAAGAGTCAGGAATAGGTGAGTAAAAAAGTTCCTCGGTTACTCATTAGGACTGGGTGCCAATCAGCACGCCCCCTCCCCTTCCCCACCTCTCCCCCCCCCCGAACATTTCCAGAGATTTTCCAAAGTAAAGTTCGCGTCGGGGAAACTTCAGCCTCTCTTCCTTTCTCTCTCTCTCTCTCTCTCAACCTTTCGCAGCTTTTCTTTTCTGCCTGCTTGTTTTCCAAATAAGGGCTGGGGGGGGGGAGAGGGCGCAGGACCCGGAGGAGCGATCCTCTGCCCGAAAGCTTTATTGTGAACCGTGGCCGGTGGAACTCCCGGCGACTTTTTGTTTTCTTCGGATAAGCGCGGGTTTGGGATCGGGTTTGTGGGTCAGAGAGAGAGAGAGAAAAAAAGCCTGTTAAGCGCTCTCGGATGTTTGATCATGGCGGCCTTTTACACGTCTACTCGGAAGTAAGTCATTGTTCCCTGCGAAGTAAAAGATGGAGCCTTGTCTTCCTCGCGGCGTTCTCCTTCCGATTTCTTCATTTTTCTCCTCGGATTTTTTCTCTCTCTCTTTGTTTTGATGTTTTTCATATTTTTCCTCCCTTTTTTGGGCGGGGGGGGGGCGACGTTTGTAGTTGTTTCAATGTCTTTAATCAATAAGCTTTATTCCGTAAGCTCTCTATTCTTTTCTCCTTCTAGACCCTATGCATCCAATTTGTCACCAATTTTTTTTTCCCTTGTGCAAAAAAAAAAAAAAAAAAAAAAAAGTAGATTCAAGCCGATTGGTTAAACCAACTGGCGGGTTATTTTATTTTGGTGTTGAACAAATAACAATCCCCTTCCCAAAATTCTCAGACGCCTAATAAACACGTCTGGAGTTCAGTTTTTTTTTGTTTTTTTGACCCTTCAGTTGGTCTACAATGTTATAAGCGTTTCTCTTTAGGGGAATCAAGTTTTCCGAGCTAGATTCGAGTTTACTTCTAGAAACTGACAAGATACATAAATGTGTCGAAGATGAAATCCGGAACGAACATTTTAAAATTCCTTCCACCATAGTGTGTGTGTGTGTGTGTGTGTGTGTGTGTGTGTGTGTGTGTGTGTGTGTGTGTGTGTGTGTGTGTGTGTGTATTTTGAATTTAAGGAAGACGATAGTCGGAGTTGGAGGACTCCCACCACTTTTAGGGCATATTCTCCTGTATAACTTCGACGGACGATCAGCTTTTTCCCAATTCAGTGCGGCAATCCTATTTAATTAAACTTTACCCTTCTGGTTGACTGTGTTCCCACAAATACGTCCTCCACCTGATCATTTGTCAGCCGCTGCGTTCACACCAACCCGGCCCGTTTGGTTCCTTTACGGGGCAATGCATAGCGACCCCCCGGAAAATTGGGTTTAATTTGGCAACTCGGAATAAGCGCGCGTACTAAATGGATTTGGCTTTAGGCATTTTAAGCAAAAGGTAGAAGAAAAGTAATGCGAAATTCGGTTTGATTCTCTCTGTTCGATTCTCTTCCTTTCAGTATTTGGACCCTGATCTCTTGAAAGGGATCAAGCTTCAAGCCAGCTGGTCCATTTCCAGAAATCCCCGAAACTGCTTTAACTAAAGGTAGGCCTCTCCTTAAGCAACCAAACAGACCAGGATCGACCAATATCGGCCCCACTTCGCTTTCAGCGCCCCAAATTCCGGCGGGTTTTTTTTGGGGGGGGGAGGGGGCTGCTTCTCGTTTCTCTTTCCAAGAGAGTTAAATTGGCTTTGAGAAAACAGGGGAGCCTCAAAAGCCTTGAGGAGCTGCCCCCCCCCCGGGAAATGGGGTGACAAACCGGGATTGTAATGGTCAATGGCCAAAAGTTGCGGGGTAATAATAATAATAATAATAATAATAATAATAATAATAATAATAATGGCCCAAAGTCCTCTCCTTTTCGACCGTAACCCGCTTACGCCCATCGTTATCGACGATTACGGCTACTAACCAAGCTTAAACAAGCTAGCTCCATACGTTACCTTTCTTCGTAGCTTAACCAGGCTTAACCAGGCCGAAGACGTCGTCGAGATTTTTCGCTGCTCAGGCGAACCGAGGCGCAGTCCTGGGTCTCTGCTCGACGGCGGGGAAGTTGGGCGAATTTTGTTTCTGCGTAGGTGGTGGGGGCGGGGGCTACCTCGGAAAGAAAGGGCTTTTTAATGACTCCGGCTTCGAATCGGATCGCTGGTCTTAGCCCGGTTTAAGGGGGAGGGGGATGAATGTCTGCTCCCACCACCGAAAGGTTTGGAAGAAGAGATTGGACAGCTGAATTGATCTGAAACGGTATTGGATCTCGCGCTGGGGCAGGGGGTTGGACTAGAAGATCTCCGAGGATCCCTTCCAACTCCGTTTTTTTTCTGTTAAGCTCCTCAGAGGTAAAGCGGGGCCAACCCCTTCAGCCCCTACACCCCTTCGTGAAGTTTCCATGGTTCATCAGTTTCCGGAAATTATATGAATTTAGTTTATAATTTAATAAATGGTACTTTAATGGTCCTGCTGCTATAGTAATTATATTACTATATATATATATATAGTAATAGATGCACACACACACTCACACTCCAAAGGTGCTTTTTCCAAAAAGCAATGAGTTTTCGGGTGGTTTTTTTTTTCCCCCTTTGAAAACATTTCACTTCTAACAGTTAGAACTGCAGATGCTTCTTGGTTGAGAAGGAAAACGTTTTCAAAGGGAAAAAAAACCCAAAAAAGTTCAGCTGCCTTTTGGAAAAAGCACCTCTGAGACAAGCGTGACCTGGATGATTGAGAATCCCCAGGTGTAGATATATATATATATAGATATAAATATAGATGCTTTATATCTATATATATATCTATATATCTCTATATATCTCTATCTCAGCTCGAAATAGTTATCCCAGTCCCCCTTAATTCTTTGTTAGCAATCCAAAAATTTAGTATGTATGTATGTGTGTGTGTGTGTGTATGTTGTTGTTGTTATTGTTAATTGCGAAGTCGTGTCCGACCCATCGACCCCATGGACAACGTTCCTCCAGGTCTTCCTGTCCTCTACCATCTGTGTGTGTGTGTGTGTGTGTGTGTGTGTGTGTGTGTGTGTGTGTGTGTGTGTATATATATATATATATATATATATATATATATATATATATATATATATATATGTAGGTCTTTGGTTGTTCGGGTTTTATATATATGTGTGTGTGTATATGTATATGTATGTATATATATATACACACACACACTATTTCTTTATATAGTGTACATTGTGTATATACATTATATATCCAAACCTGAGTAATAGTAATGCTATTAATAGTAATGCATCGACTTCTTGGATAATTCCATCAACCTTTGGGGGGGGGGTCAATATCGACCACTTTGGAGCCCCATAATCTACAGGCAAAGCTGTCAAAGTTCTCCCTTGGGTTCAGCACAGCTTGCTCTCCAGGCCATGCCAAACAGAAGGGCGCTCCGAATGGAGGCGATCCGAATCCAGGAACAGAAACAAGAGATTCCCTTAGGATCCAATCTGGGTCGGTCACCGGGGACCAGAGGTTTTTGTCTCCCGACCTTTCGGACACGTGTTGAAGTCCCATCTCTCCGAGGATGGGCTCCGGCAGGCGTCCGAAAGCTGGGGAGACAAAACCCCGGGTTCCCGGTGACCGACCCGAAAATTGGATCCTGCAGCCTCCTCCTGGGACGCGTCTCCTCGCCTTGGTTCGTGAGAGATTCATTTAACCCCGGATGGTCGTGTGAAGGACGGCCTCAGTTAACCCGCGTCGGACGGAGGTGAATTGGTGTTCGGGGCGGCCCAGGGTGGCCGGCCAGGCAGGGGAGCATTCCAAAAACTGACCCCCAAGGCCATGCCGGGGCTTACTTGCCTCGAATCTTTCAGCCATGCATCCTTTCCCTTAATGGAGATCCATTAGCAGCGGCGGCGACTTGGGGCCTTGAACTCGGCTTAGGCTTCAAAACAACAAAAGGGCGAAACAAAAGGGATGGTTGGCTTGTAGCCCAGATGCCCCGGAGCCTCAGAAAAACGCCCAATCCCTAAACTGGGCGGCCGATAAATTATAAAAATAAATAGGAGGAGAACGGCAAGAAAATTCCTTACCCACCACCCATCCATCTCCTCATCCACTCCCCGCCTTCAGCGTTAATCACTGCACAATAAGAGGAATTTCCACCATTAATAAATACACCCAGGCGGTTCCTTGGGCGCCGGGGTATTCAAAAGCCAATCGCTCCTCCGTTTCCTTCTTGTCCCCTCTTTAATCAATTCAATAATACTGAATATTAAACTGTGGGAAGTCAGCCCCCCCCCCCCAGAGAAGGAAATATATTTTTTGTTAATAATGTTAAAATTATGGAATAAATTTAAGAATCGAATAAATAACTTCGGTTTATGCTCTCGCCTGCCTGCCCGAAAAAAATAAAAGCTGACCAGACGCTTAAATCCACCAGAGAGGAATTCGGGGGGGGGGGGAAGGGGCGCAGGGGCTTCTAAAGTCGCCCCTCCCCCATAAAGCTTATATCTCTTTTGACCCTTGGCTGCCCAGGCAGAGATTCAACCGATGTAGAACATAGAATAACAAGAGTTGGAAGGGACCTTGTGGTTCATCTAGTCCAGTGTTTCTCAACCTTGACAATTTTAAGGCATGTGGACTTCAACTCCCAGAATTCCACAGCCAGCAATTCCACAGTGCCCTAGTCCAACCCCCCCACCTCATTCTCCCCCCCACCCAGGCAGGAGACCCTACACCATTTCTGATAGATGACAGTCCAGTCTCTTCTCTTTTTTTAGTAACAATATTTTATTAAGTTTTATAAGGGTAGGGAAGGGATAGGGTCAGTGTAGGTATTAGATAGGGTTCAGGGTAAGGTTCAGGAATGGGATTGGGATAGGTACAACAATGGGGTTACCCCCAATAACCTTTCCAAGCTTTAGCAAGCAGACTATTGTCCGGATACAAATAATAAAACTAATGAATTAATTAATATGATAGTACATAGCTATCGTCAATAAGAATGACAGTGATCATAAAGAGTCTCAATTAATCAGCAAATGCCATGCATCTTATTGAATTTCACAATCATTGCTTGCTAGTTCACTTTCCTAACCCTTGGTAGAAATTTTCCCATGTTTTAAAGTAGACTGACTCACTGGAGAAGGGCCTAATGCTGGGAAAGATTGAGGGCAATAGAAGAAGGGGACGATAGAGAATGAGATGGCTGGATGGAGTCACTGAAGCAGTAGGTGTCAACTTAAATGGACTCCAGAAAATGGTAGAGGACAGGAAGACCTGGAGGAATGTTGTCCATGGGGTCGCGATGGGTCGGACACGACTTCGCAATTAACAACAACAACAACAAAGTAGACTGAGTTTTCTTTCTCTTTAATCTCTAGGGTTAGTCTGTCCATTTCTGCACATTCTAACATTTTCCTAATTATGATCTCGTCAGATTCTATATTTTCATTTTTCCAATATTGGGCAAATGCTACTCTCGCTGCTGTCAATACACGTAATATTAAATAGTCCAGTCCAGTCTCTCTTCTTCAAAGCCTCCAGTGAACAGATTTGGGCTCTGGTGGCTGAAGTATTTTAGACTTAATGGCTGGGGGAGGTGTGATTCATTCCCCTCCCCCTCACTGCCTCCCAGTCAATGTCAGTGTTTTACCTTCTTTGTTAAGGGTGGGCAGGGAGGGTTAGGAGGAAAGATTGAAGTCAAATCACTCAGAACAATAGTTGGAAGGGACCTTGGAGGTCTTCTAGTCTAATCCCCTGTAACCTCTGTAAACCTCCTCTGAAGCCTATGAGAAACCCCAGCTACTGATCCTCGTCTTTTTTAAAAAACTAGGACGGTAGTGCAACTGGGTCCCTTCGCACGGGCTCCTTAGAAATACTCCAGCGTTTCTTGCGGGGGACCTCTTGAGGTCATCCGCTGCCCCAAGCACCTTCCCAAAAAAACCTTCGTTTCAGGTGCCCCAGCCGCCTTGACATTTTTCTCCGTCGAGAAGTAAATTTACTTGCCTTCAAAAAAGAAAAAGAAAAAAGAAAAGCTCTCGGTTTTGAGAATGGCCGGGGCGAAATTCATTTTTTTTTCCCCAGGCAGGCGAGTTAAAAACACAGAGAAAGCAAAGCAAGTTTTTTTCTTCTCGGAAACGAAATTCTAAAAAAGACCCATGGAAGACGCTTCGGGAAAGCCAAATATTGCGCGGGAATTGGCCCCCGCGGCCTGTTTCCATTTTCTCCCAGATGCTAAAAGTCCCCCAAAATCCTTTTTTTTCCCCTCTTTTTTTTTCCGCTTCGGAAACCGATCAGTTGCCCCATATTGACTGTATTTTAAGCGGGAGAAACGACTTCCTATTCGGCAAGCCGATCAATATTATTATTTGGCTCTATTGCTAGTAGATCTTATTCGGCAAAAGTCGCATTTGTTAGTCCCGGAATCTTCACCCTTGAAAGGAACTTCGCTTATATTAGTATACACGGAGAGAGAGGGGGGGGAGAGGGAGAGAGAGAGAGGGGGGAGAGAGGGAGAGAGAGAGGGAGGGAGAGAGAGAGAGAGAGAGAGAGGGAGAGAGAGAGAGAGAGAGAGCTAGGAGGATCATTGTGTATTAAGGGATTCCTTCCATTTCACTTCACCCTCTGAAAAAGAGAGAGGGGTTTATTTATTTATTTATTTATTTATGAGACTTATATACCGCTTTTAAGTGCAAGCACTCTCTAAGCGGTGTACACCAGTAAGCAATGTATATATATATTTACATTGCCCCCAAGAATCTGGGTCCTCATTTTACCTACCCCGGAAGGATGGAAGGCTGAGTCAACCTTGAGCCGGTGAGATTTGAACCGCTGACCTGCTGAACACAGTCAGCTAAAGTGGCCTGATAAAACCACAAAAAAATTACTTTTCCTTCTGGAAAACGGAACCGCGCTTTGGCATCCCCAGCCGTTTACAAACACAGCTTTTGGAGAAAGGTCGACTTCCGGTTCCTAAATTTTCCCTTTGCGCCCTAACCACATTTTCCGGGAATTCAATGAACCCAGAATTTTACTTCCCTGCATTTAAGGGGAGCCTTGCTAGGCATTGCCACAATCCATAATGAAGTAGGCAGTTCTATAATTCCCTCCCCGCCCAATAAAAATTATTTCTATTGCAGCAAGGGATGAGAAGGTAAAAATATAAAATAAGATAACCTTTATTGTCATTTTTTTTTTACCGTGGGCACGCTGGCACACCTTAAAAATGAGATTCTGTTGCCTGCTCTCCAAAGTGTACCCGTGCATAACACACATATAAACATGCTGTATACAACACATGTATGCAACTACACCCTCACATATAAATACATATCAATATTCGTGCTGCCCATCTTGAACCCAGAGCGGAAAGAGGAAGCTTGAGAGTTCACAAGGTTGATATTGTATGGAACAAAACTGTGACTGAATCTGGATGTTCTGCTTTGGGTTAACAAGGAAACAAGGAAAACAGGTCCTAAAGAGGATGTGTAGCATCCCAGACAATCTTGTGGACCCCACTCCAGCATCGCTTATTATCACCTTGAAGTTGCCCCTTAACCTACAAGCCAAACAGCAGTTGTTCCCATTTCCAAATAAGTAGGAACAGGATTAAAACGGAAAGCTCAAAACCCATTTTACTGTTCTGAAATCTAAATGAGAGAGATCAGCTATCTTTGGAGTCAACACGGGCAGATTTCAAGGGCTAAGAGTTGCACACAGTCCTTTTTTTGCAAAGGAGTTCTTTTGCTTGCGGCACCCGAGTTAAGTTTGGGAGCACAGTTTAAAGCAGATGGGAAGAAAGCAAGCTGGGTGCAGAAGGAAACCCAGATAGTCCAAAAGGACAGGCAGAAAATTAAATTCAAGCTTCCATTGGGGATTATCAATACTCCTAGTAGGATTGTCCTGCCCCCCCCTGTATTATTCTACTATTCTACTGTCCTGACTTGAATTGTTTGTTTTGCCTTTAAGCTTCTATCTCTCATCTCTAATTGGCTTGTCTTCATTTCAAAAGGACTTTTCCAGGTGGAACTTGAGAGATGCTTTGGAACGATAGCCACTCAAGGAATTCAGTTCTTTTAAAGTCAGTGAGACTACTTAAGTCTTCTCTCTCCTCTTCCCCCCCTTCTCTGTTGTATGTAGACTTCTAGGGCAAGCTGGGAAAAGACGGCTGTCGCAAGGTGGGGTAGGAGCGGAGCCAAAATGAATAAGCAGCTTGCCAATAAATCCCATTCTTAGCTATTTGAAATGCCTTTTTTTTTCTCCTGAAGAATCTTTTACTAATGCAATTGGGGTGAATATCTGTAGCTCCGGTGTAGGATGAGGGTGGAGGTCCATTCTCCACGCTGGTGGGTTGGTTTCCTAACATTTCATTACCAGGCTAGGTAACATCCTCAGCGGAGTTTAGGGGTTGTCAGTGTTCTATATGGGACAAACGTGTCAATTAAAACCAGGATCCACAAACACCACCTGGCAGTCAAATGCCACCATCCCAAATCTTTAACCTCTACTCACACTGACACCAAAGAGCACCCGTTCAATTGGAGCAACCCAAAAGTCAGCCACACTACCAGCTGCCACCCTCATGAGTTCATTGAAGCCTGGCACTCCACAAGACATTCTATCCACAGAGATATTGACCTACAGCCAGCCTATGAACCCCTCAGGATCCAAATCAACCAGCAACCACAGCTGAAGAAGCTTCGTGGATGAGAAGCGAAACATCTTCAGAGAAAAACCAAATGTATAGGTATAGTACAGGTGGTACCTTACTCAATAGTAGTAACTGTGAGAGCGATCTTGGAGTCCTAGTGGACAATCACTTAAATATGAGCCAGCCGTGTGCTGCAGCTGCCAAACAAGCCAACACAGTGCTAGGCTGCATTAACAGAGGGATAGAATCAAGATCATGTGAAGTATTAATACCACTTTACAATGCCTTAATAAGGCCACACTTCGAATACTGCATCCAGCTTTGCTCACCATGATGTAAAAAACATGTTGAGACTCTAGAAAGAGTACAGAGAAGAGCAACAAAGATGATTAGGGGACTGGAGGCCAAAACTTACAAGGAACGGTTGTTGGAATTGGGTACGTCTAGTTTAATGAAGAGAAGGACGAGGGGGGACATGATAGCAGCGTTCCAATATCTCAGGGGCTGCCACAAAGAAGAGGGAGTCAAGCTATTCTCCAAAGCACCTGAAGGTAGGAGAAGAAGCAACGGATGGAAACTAATCAACAAGAGAAGCAACCTAGAACTAAGGAGAAACTTCCTGACAGTTATAACAATTAACCAGTGGAACAACTTGCCTCTAGAAGCGGTGAATGCTCCAACACTGGAAGTTTTTAAGAAGAGACTGGACAGCCATTTGTCTGAAATGGTATAAGGTTTCCTCCCTGAGCAGGGGGTTGGATTAGATGACCTCCAAGATCCCTTCCAACTATTAATAATAATAATAAAACAAAACAAAACAAAAAAACTCCAGCTGCCTCGTGAAAAAGCATCTTTGGGCCAACCAGAAACAGCGCTAACCCTCTCCCCCCACCCAACCAGGAGTTCACCTCCCAATGACCCTGACCTAATGTAACCACCCCATCACAACACCCGTCACAAGACTCACTGATGACTCACACCTGACCCGTCACAAGACCCTCACTCGATACACCTACACCTGAAGCCCTTATAAACAGAAGAGCACTATCAGTGACATCCCCCTCTAAACTCCATTGAAAATGTTACCTAGCCTGGTAATGAAATATTCAGAAATCAACCCACAAGCTTGGAGAATGAACCTTCACCCTCCGTCTTTTAGTAATGTCTATGTTCTATTGTGACGCCTCCAGAAGTCATGGGTGCTCCATCACTGGAGGTTTTTAAGAAGAGATTGGACAAGCATTTGTCTGAAATGGTATAGAGTCTCCTGCTTGAGCAGGGGGTTGAGCTAGGAGACCTCTTAAGGTCCCTTCCAACTCTGTTATTCTGTTATTTCTACTGATGGAAATTTGGCTGCTTGAGTTCCTGATCTCTATGCATAAAATCTTGCCATGTAACAGCCAATTCCTGACATTCTTTTTCATCAGTGCTAATATAGAAATGAACCATATTTTAATGTTTGGGGGGTTGTACAAAATATTTAGAGAGCCATGATGTAAATTGAGTAGGGCTGTGTCATGTATACGAGCCCAGTGGAGCCACGTCTGTTTTTTGGGGGTGTTTCTTCCTGGTTCTATCTGAAGGGTAATTTAATTTACAAATTGTTGCTGAGATGAAAAGGCATTTTAAATAAATAGCTGTTTTAGCTTTGAAGCTACAGTTTCATGTGTTTCTTGCTTTCCCAATAATGGGAATCCATAGAATTCATGGTCAAAGATATGTTACAGTTTTGGTAATGTTGATTACCATTTTAGCAGATTCAAGAAAAGCTGTTTTGAATGGGGATTGGCAAATGATTGATGTATTCATTTGAGCAGAGGTTAATATACACATCTTTCTATTGTTTTCAGCTGAGCCATCCTGAGCAGCAATTGTTCCATTACTGGAGGTTGTTAAGAAGAGATTGGATACCGCCATTTGTCTGAAATTGCATATAGGGTATACTGCTTGAGCAGGGGGTTGGACTAGAAGACCTCTAAGGTCCCTTCCAATTGCATTATTCAATATTTGGCACAAGACTGAATTGTTTTGCTCTGTTCTCTCCAAAATGAACCTTGTATATTGGGATGAAGGCACTTTGGCCCATAAAGGGACAAGAGTGTTAGAAAATAACTTTCTCCAAACTTTTCCTGCCTTTTTGAGAAGAAGAGAATCGGGGACAAATCTACAATAAAATCCTTCTCAAATAGAGGAGGTTGGCTTGTTTTAGCATGCAAGAAAATTATGTCTTCCATCCTTCCGGGGTAGGTAAAATGAGGACCCAGATTGTTGGGGACAATGTATATATATATATATATATATATATATATATATATATATATATATATATACATACATACATACATACATACATACATACATACATACACATATACATTGCTTACTGGTGTACACCGCTTAGAGAGTGCTTGCACTTAAAGCGGTATATAAGTCTCATAAATAAATAAATAAATAAATGTCATGTAATTTCCTATCTGCACAGTGCAGTAATAAAGATAAGGTGAGAACAAAACTCAACTTAAATATGAAAGTAATGGCTGGATTAATAGATATTTCTTTTCCTAAGAAATACTGGAAGAAAAGATATTTTAGACTCCGGTAGCCAAATTTAGAAAGAGTCTGAGAAAACATGTGCCATGTGTTAGTCTGAAAAGATGTTACCGGAGTCCTTCTGATTTTTGAAATCAGAATGTGTATTTAACATATTGTAGCCTGGTGATGTATTTAGGATAGGCATATGGACTTTTTCAGCCTGCAATTCTGTTGTTAAGCTAAAATTCCCAGCATTTTCATCATCAAACATGCTGACTTTGCCTACTGGGAGATCTTTGAGAGTCAAGAATCAAAGAGAAGAATCCTGGGACACAATTCATAGGACTGAAAAGTTTTGAAAAAAGTCTACTACCTGGATTTGACCCTGATTAACTGAGATAAAGTCTGGAGAGCAGAATGGAGTAGGATAGAATATAGAATAGAATATAGAACAGAACAGAGGATAGGATAGGATAGGATAGAAAAGAATATAGAATAGAATAGAATAGAATAGAATAGAATAGAATAGAATAGAATAGAATAGAAAATATAGGACAGGACAGAATATAGGATAGGGTAGGATAGAACAAAACAGAACAGAACAGTATATAGGATAGAATAGAGGATAGGATAGAATATGGAATAGAATATAGAATAGAATAGAAAATAGAATAGAGTAGAATAGAATATAGAATAAAATAGAAAATAGAATAGAGTAGAATAGAATATAGAATAAAATAGAAAATAGAATAGAAAGAATAGAATAGAATAGAATAGAATAGAATAGAATTAGATAGGACAGGACAGAATGGATAGGATAGGATAGGATAGGATAGGATAGGATAGAATAGAATAGAATAGTATATAGGATAGAAGAGGACTGAATAGAATAGAGAATAGAATAGTATATAGGATAGGATAGGACATGATAGAATATAGGATAGAACATAATATAGAGTAGAAGGTAGGATAGGATAGAATAAAACAGGGGTGTCAAATTCGCAATGTCACGTGAGGTGTCATGATGTATTGCGACTTTTTTGCCATTGCCAGCAATGGGGTAGGCATGGTATTTGACACCCTCGGAATAGAGTGAGGATAGGATAAGATAGAGGATAGGACAGAGGATAGAGGATAAGATAGGCTAGGATAGGATATAGAATAGGATAGGATAGACTATTAGCCAAATGTGATTGGATACACAAGGAATCTGTCTATTCTCTCAGTGTGCATACTTATGCAAAGTAATATAAACATAAGACACCAAAAGGAGAAGGTAATAGAAAAGATGAGAAGCATAATAGTAATACAGCCAGACCACATGGGTAAATATCCTTAGACATAAGACATCCAGTGATCATGGGCTTAATGGAATTAGGAGGAAACTTTTCACAGTAGTAACCTTGACCATTTTATACAGGATGAATAATGATAACTTCATTCCTAAGACTCCAGTGGAAATGCAGAAGCGTTTGTTCCCTGTCATTTCCAAGAGGAAAAGACACAAATAAACAGTGACTGGCATTCACTGCTACTCCCAAATTAAAGCGATGATAATGATGATGATGATGATGATGATGTTACCCAGTTGTGTCTGACTCTTGGCGATTCTGTGGCCTAAGGTCTCTCCACATCTTTTGATCTTGCACTACTTCTTCCAATTTTTCTGGCTGGTGTCACCTTTGAGGATTGTCCAGCAGCTACCATGTTCTTTGGTGGCCTGATTTCCTTTGCCCAGCATAATTGCTTTCACCAGTGAATTGACATGGCCAAAATAAGTGAGATGCAGTTTTGTGATTTTGCCTTCTGTGTGGTGTTATGCACTCCAGTACTTGCTTGTTGGTCACCTTTGCTGTCCAGGGAAGTCTTCTCCAGCACCCCAACTCAAACGGAGTCCATTCTCACCCCGTCCTGCTTTTTTTTTGAAGGTCCAAATTAAATTAAACAAATTAATAATAGAACAAAATAAATTCAACAGTAATAAATGAAACAAATTAAAGTGGGCAGGGTGCTTATCTGGCTGACATACAGTTGGGATGGTATTGAAAAGTGATGGACTGACCGCTGCTGAGGGAGAAAATGCATTTCAACTTTCACCCGGCCAGTCTTAAAAAAAGTCTCTGGAATGTTTTATCCAAACAAGATAAGATGCTCAGGTTATTTGCTATAATGGGGTCTGGGTGGTCAAGAGTTCATCCAAGTTCAGGGTTTTTTCTTTATTGCAAGAGAAATGTATTTATTTGTTTGTTGTTATGCCTTTATCTCGGCCTTTCATTCAGGAATTCAAGGCAGTTAGTTTAATAATAATAATAATAATAATAATAATAATAATAATAATAATAATAATAATAATAATAATACAAGCACCTGCAACATAACACCCCAGACTTAACAATTGTCGATAAGAAAGACAAAAAAGTCTGGATAGTGGACGTGGCAGTGCCTGGAGATAGCAGAATAGAAGAGAAAGAACTGGAGAAGATAACAAAATACAAAGAACTACAAATAGAAATAGAAAGACTGTGGCAAAAGCAAGCAAGGGTAGTACCAATAGTAATAGGCTCCTTGGGTGCAATCCCAAAACAATTGGAGCACCACTTGAACACCATTGGCATTGACAAATTCGCTATTAGTCAATTGCAAAAGGCGGCCTTGTTAGGAACTGCTTCCATCCTGCGACAATATCTGTAATACCATCAAACATCCACATCTGCCTATCCCAGGTCCTGGGTAAGGACTCGATAGGTAGACAAAATGCCAAATCCAGTCAGAACATCTGGCTGACTGTGCGATGATCCATAATAGTTGGAAGGGACCTTGGAGGTCATCTAGTCCAACCCCCTGCTCAGGGAGGAAACCCTATGCCTATCCCATTTCAGACAAATGGTTGTCCAGTCTCTTCTTTAAAAACTTCCAGTGTTGGAGCATTCACCACTTCTGGAGGCAGGTTGTTCCATTGGTTAATTGATCTAACTGTCAGGAAGTTTCTCCTTAGTTCTAGGTTGTTTCTCTCCTTGATTAGTTTCCATCCGTTGCTTCTTGTCCTGCCTTCGGGTGCTTTGGAGAATAGCTTGACTCCCTCTTTGTGGCAACCCCTGAGATATTGGAACACTGCTATCATGTCCCCCCTGGTCCTTCTCGTCATTAAACTAGACATACCTAATTCCAGCAACTGTTCCTTATATGTTTTAGCCTCCAGACCTCTAATCATCCTTGTTGCTCTTCTCTGTAAGGATGACTAGAATAGAATAGAGATGGAAGGGATCTTGGAGGTCTTCTCGTCCACCCCCTGCTTTAGCAAGAGATCCCATACCATTTCAAAACAAGTGGCTGTCCAGTCTCTTCTTAAAAACCTCTAGTGATGAAGTGCCCACAGCTTCTGAAGGCAAACTGTCCCACTGGTTATTCCCATCCGTTGCTTCTTGTCCTGCCCCTGTAGTTCCCTATAACTCTCCCTGCAAGGTAGGATGGGCTGAGAGAGAATGAATGGCCCAAAGGCTCCTATAGACAGATGATGGGATTATGTTTGCAGGATCCGCCTTCCCTGGATAAACTTAACCGTGGTTTATTCAACTCAGTTTCCCAAGATCTCATAACACAGTGAACCATAAACGAAGCACATAAATTCTGTGCTGTATGATTGGCTAGCTTAGTAGATCACTTTAAGTGCTACTTTGTCATCCCTGGTTTCCAAGCTGCAGTTAAGCTATAAACAATCGGAACACATGAAGTTTTAATATAATGAATGGTTCCAAATGCACTTTGCAACTGTATACTGAACTCAATGGGACTTAAAGGTGAAGGTCTGAACTAGAAGCGAGGAGGTCCAGGTTCAAATCCAGCCACAGCAACCTTAGAGGATTGTCGCTGTGGGGAAAAATTGGAGGAGGGAACCAATACGTTGAGGAAAGACAGGACAGAAATTTAATACACGAGATAAGAAAGTCACCTTCTTTAGGCTCAAATATTCCATTTAATTCTCTAGGATTTTTGCCTGTTCCTTAGAAGGTAAAAACTGTGCTGAGAGAAAATATTAGCCTTGGTGGCTTAAGCAACCCAGCAACATACTATAACTATTCTAATGGTTGGTATTCCCACCGGTGACTAAATGATAATGATGATGACGATGACTTTATTCATTCAGTCAGGACTGACTCTTGGAGACTTTACGGGCCAGGTCTTTCCACCTACCTCTTCTGATCATGCACTACTTCTTTAAGTTGTTCTGTGCTCTGTTTGGTGTCAGCTTTGAAGGCGTCCATCAACCGTGTTCTTTGGTGGCCTGGTTTCCTTTTACCACTAACTCTTCCAAGCAGAATGGATTTCTCCAGTGAATTCCCCCCCCCCCCACACACACAACATGACCAAAATAATTGAGACACAGTTTTGTGATTTTGCCTTCCAGTGACCTCTCTGGTGTTATGCGCTCCAGTACTTGCTTGTAAGTCACCTTTGCTGTCCCAGGAATATGCAGGAAAGAGCCTTCAATTGTGATCAGAGAAGATACCAGCCTTGGTGGCTTAAGCAACCCAACATCAATCAAAACAGTAGAGTGGAGTAGAGTAGAGTAGAGTAGAGTAGAGTAGAGCAGAGTAGAGTAGAATACTGGAAGGGACCTTGGAGGTCTTCTAGTCCAACCCCCTGCTCAAGCAGGAGAACCTATACCATTTCA